TTTTATTCTAAATTCATCAGAACACACTTCTATCTCGTCATTTGAATTTTTTTTTTAACCATAGATTTTTTATGAATGTATAATTTTTTAAATTAATACAGATTTAAAATAAAAATGGTAAATTGATTTTTTTTTTCTTCCATATTGTTACTGTTAATTTTTTCAATTTATTTCAGCTTTATTCTGGCTTCACAAATGAGGACCAAATGATTTCGCGTGTTATGATGCATTACATTTCAAATTTTGTCAAATCTGGGTATATTTTATTTTATACTGAAAAAATTTTTTTTATTTTCAATAACCTAAAATTTAACGATTAAAAAATTAGAAGATGATTTTTCAAGATTAATATTAAATACGAAATGATATCATAATTCAACTATTCCATTTTACTATAATCTTTTATATCTTCAAAAAAGAACCTTATAAAATAATTGGGTAAGGAATAAGTTTTAAAAATTTTACCTCTTATTTAGTTTAAATATTTCAATTGATCAAAAGCATACATAAGTGGAATTGCTATCAAATAATGATAATTTATATTTATGTATATTTTTTAAATATAAATTTTTTAAAGCGATCCAACAAAGCCAGCTCAATTGCCTGCAACAACATCAATTGCTGAACGTTTTCACAGTGCTGCCTGGCCACAGCTTACACAACGAAATCGCGAACCTTACTTAGAAATAAGTATGCTAAATTAAATTAATTTAGCTAAAATGTTGAATTTTATCAAAAAAAAAACAATTTTTCAAATTTTTAAATCCTTCAATCATTCTTGCTTACATTAATTTGAGGTAATATGTTGTCAAGGTGATTTGCTTACTTATTAAACGCCATCAAAAATATTCAATTTTGTTTGTTTGTTTGTTTTAATCTGCTTGAAAATTATAAAATATTTTTTAGAAGCTCTCTTTTATAAAATATAATAATTGTGAGCTTATTTTTTTAAATATTTCTTCTAGCTGATAGACCACGAGTGAAAAATTATTACCGTAATGCTCAGGTAGGTTTCTGGAATGGTCTGATACCACAATTGCACGCTAATGGAAAAGAAGGTGTACCTGTACCGGAGGTTTTTTTTTTTTTAAAGTTATACATTAAAAATCTTTAAATTGTAATAAAATTTGTCTTAAGTTAATTGTTAAAGAAAGTTAAAAATTTAAGTTACAATAAAATTTGATAAAAGTTAATTTTTTTTAGGAACATCATTTTCTTCCAAATCATTTCAAACGTGATTCATTTTTTGGTACTGTAAGACCGTATGCAAGCTATGCTAATGAACCATTTCCACCACCACCTCTTCCACCAACTCCACTACCAAAATCCATCGAAAAGCTTGCAATACGTTTGTGCTTTATTATTTTTTTTTAGCCTATGTTTAGTACAGAATTATACTATCTGTAAATGAAACAATACAATATCTAATTTGGTACTGTGCAATAAGTAATAAATGAATGGATATTAGTGATGGAAAGATTTAAATATATCATAAATATATTAAATAAATTAGATAAAACACTTCAATACCTGTTTGTTGATTATTATAAAATCAAAAATTGATATTTCAGTTCCATCATATGAGACAAATTCTGATAGAACATCAACAACTCCAATACCATTTGTAAAAGGAGCACAGAATAGTACAATGTTATCGATAACAGTTGCTGTTGGATGTGGCCTATTATTTCTCAATATATGTATTGGCCTTGGCCTTTATAGGCAGGTTTGTTTTTAATCCATTCAAAAATTAATTTATCATTCTTTACAATCAAAATTTTCTTTTAATAATAAACGAGATAGCTTTAATTTAATAATAATTAATGAATTAATAGAATGATGGTGTTTAGCTTGATCACATTTCTGAAATTGAATTTACACTTTTAAATTAAATGATCATAGTAAATTTAACCATATGCCACTTGATTTATAATAAAAATTATCGTTTAATTTTTTTAATTTTTGAAATAATTTCTTTTTTCTATTCTGCTAACTATAAATAAGTGAAGAAGAATTTTCAGAAAAAAATTATATTTTTTACAAACTTTTTTAAATTTATAATTTTTTCTCATCGGCCTCAATTCATGCAATTTTTGCACATTTGCATTGTTTCATAATAATAATTTATCATAATAATGTTTAAAATAGTGCGATTATTTCGCTTTTAACAAATCGATTGCTATATTTCCAAAAAATTTCCAAACATTCTATGCCAAATTTTCATCTCCTTAAATCCTCTTTTTGACTTCTTAAACACTTCAATTCTGAAATTTCTTAATTCCATGAAATATTCCCTTAAATCCGTTTAAAGAAACAAGCATATTTGTCTATTCATTTTTATAGTGTAATAGGAAAGAAGAAACAAAGAAAAAATTGCAATTACAATACCAAACTTACTCAACTAATTATCAATTAAATGCTACCGATATGAACTGTATCAATAATGCTACCGGACAACAGGTTTGTGGTAAAATGTAAAAATTACAAATCCTGAAATAGGAAAACTTTTGAAATCATAAAAATAATTTATAAAAATATTAAACTATTAGTGCAATAGCTTTGCTAGAAAAAAAACATTATTATCAATGAATACAATGTGATGAATTATTACGTAAATACATCCCTCTCAATTTCTCATTGATCAAAAA